TGTAAAAGATTCCTATAAGTCAATAAGAAAATGGCAACTTGATGTTAAAAAATGTTTGAAAGACCAAAGAAAGTACTCAAAAAAATATTCAAATGATCTACTACCTATGAAAATGTACTTAACTTCTCTAATCATCAAGAAAATACAAAGTAAAACTATAAACTATGTGCTGGTGGGTCACACCTGTAATCCTAGCTACTCTAGGAAGTTGTGATCTAAGGATCATGGTTTGAAGCCAGCCCAGGCAGGAAAGGCCTTGAAAGTCTTATCTCCAATTAACGATCAAAAACTCAGAAGCTGAGCTGTGGCTCAAGTGGTGGAGCACTAGCCTTGAGCAAAGGCAACTCAGGGATAAAACCTAGGCCCTGAGGTCAAGACCCACAACTGACACTCACACAAAAAACTATAATGAGGTAAATGTTATATGAACTCACCAGAAAAACCCAAATTTTAAGACAGACTTTACCCAATGTTCAAGAAGATGTAGAGTAGCTACATGCTTCATGTACTCCTGTGGTGAGGGCAAACTGTGCGTAATTTTGTTGAACTGGCTGAACATATGCATGTTCTATGACCCCACACTTCCACTCCTAGTGTGCTTGTGCACCAAAAGACATCGTGAGGGTGCTTACAGCAGCACCTCACACGATCACCTCAAACCAGGACAATTGAAAAGTGCAACAGAAATAAAATAAATTTTTAATTTGTGCTGGCAGTGGGTCTTCGAACTCAGGGCCTCACACTCTCCCTTGATTTTTTTTTTTTTTGCTCATGGTTTGTGGTCTGCCATTTGGATTTTTTCCCCCTCACGAGGGGGAAACTCTCCTGCATATGCCATCACACTGGTGTGATGCTTTCTCATTTTCTGGCTATTCTAGCTCCTGGTCCTATGATCCAGCTTCCTACTTTCTTAGGAATGACCTGTTGTTGGAAAAGCTTCATTTCCCGTGCCAGTCACAAGAAGAAATTTTTTGCTAAGTGAGTTCGACACACATTCATTCTTTCTCTCATTTGTGTATCAGATCGAACTGTCAGAATTGATTTTGTACCTCCTGTGTACAGGTTCACACTAGGTTCGACAATGGAGCAGTGAGAAGGTAACAGGGCCTGCAGTCTGATGAAAGAAATGGACAATAATCGTGCAGACACGGGCACACAGAGACATAGACACAGCTAGACAGAGAGACAGAGACAGACAGACAGACACACACACACGCATGTGCGAGTCAGAACTGTAAAGTCCAAGTTACAAAGAAAGAAGCAGGGAGGCCTAACTTCATCTTGGGAGAGGGAGTTATGGGAAGAAGAATGAAATAAGTAGGTGGAGTCAGAGGGGAGGAAAGTGTGATGGAATTACAGAGGGAACCCTGCACTCAGAAGCCCTGAGGTAGGAGGTATGGCTAGAACCCAGACCCAAAGACTAAGGGAATGAATGGCTCAAATGTAGCTGGGAAGCCAGGTTGAGGTTTGGACTGGACAGACCATCACAGGATCTGGCAATGGGACACACCACCAAGGCTGGTAACTCATGTGATCTGGTATAGGGTAAGGAAGGGCTGTGCCACTGAATCACAGAGGATTTCTGACTCAGATCTACTTTAGAAAACCTAGCAGTGCCATATAGGTAGGACCAGAAATTCCTGGAGGACATGCCTCTGGGAAGGCTCTGAAATTGGTCTGGACTCCCTGCCTGGCTCGGGGAAGGCACCTGTGCTGAATCCCACATGTGACATCATTTTATTCTGATAGTTTTTTCAGTGTAATTGGACTGAAGCCCCAGCCTAGGCCTTTGGGTTGGCTCTATGCACTTGGGAGTCTGTGTTCCAACTCTAGGCATTTGTCCTGTATATATCCCTGACCTTTTTACTGAGGAGTTTGGATTGAGTTTTGTTATTTTCTAGCTGGATATGGCCAGGCAGAAGGCAACAAGCAGCATGAACTGTCAGCAGAGTGGTGGTACTTCCCTGTGTGGAGCTAAACGTGGGGCATGCTGGGAAGAAAGCAGGAAGACACAGGCAGAGAGGAGGCACACCAGTGCAGGCAGAGGGCTGACGGGTAAAGGACCACTCTTTACCCCACAGGGTGGGGTGAGATTTATAAATATCAGCAGTAACTGCTCAACCTCAGGGAGCCTCTGAGCTCCCACACACCAGGTAAGAAAGGAGCAGCTGGGTAGGATGGAGCTAGTGTGATTCAGGTCCTGCTTTGTGGCCCACCACATGGAGGGCAAGGAAGCCAAGTGTGACAAGAATGAAGTTCTGTTGACTACAGGGTGCATTACAGAGGTGCACAATTGTATAGATTAGTAAACCAAGGCTCAAGTCATTTGGTATCAGAGTTGCTAGGATGAAGGTCCAGGCATTCTAGCCTCACACCATATTTTGCTGCATTTCTAGAATGAGATTCTCACCCTCAGTGGGGCACAGAAAAGCCAAGCCAGCAATGGGCAGCACTCTGGCAGGCCTGCATCTGGGGGTCCAGGAGGTCAAGGGTCCTGGCCTGTCACCAAATGTTTTTGACTATAATCCAGGAGCCAAGCATCTTAGAAAGCCAGGCATCTCCTGTGGATGGATCTCAGATGGACTAAGATGCATGCATGTTCCTATCCTGTCCCCCAGGCTCTACGGAGAGGAGCACCGGACAGTGACCCTCAGGCTCCCATGTCCTTAACTCATATCCTTCCTTGAGTATTCAAGAGTCATTGCATTGAGCAATTATTACATACTACTCTTTCACATGCCAAAGGAATATATCAACTATCCAAGAGGAGTCTTCTTTTTAGTAGTGTAAGGGAGAAAGGGATGGCATTAGATATGCAATTATTTAACTAAAACTTGTGATGGAGTCTTCGAAAGAAAAAAGCAAAGGCTATGATATCATATTACAGGAAAGATGACCTTGTTGTTTTGGAAATGAGATTCCTTAGGCTTGAGATTTTTAAACAGAGTTACATGGAAATCTAGGGTCGTGCAGAAGCTATTTCTAGAGTTTCCAAAGCCTTTAAGTTTGAATTTGCATTAAATATAGATGTAAAAATATAGTTCAGATATACAGTCTCCCTCTGGGTCTGCGGGGAATTGGCTCCAGGACCCCTGCAGACAGCAGCCTCTGCAGATGTTCAGTTCCCTTCCATAAAGCAGCATGGTATTGGCGCATGCCTTCTGTACTCTCTCCCATAATTTAAATCCTCTCTAGACTGCTCACAAAACACAATGGAAATGCTATGTAAATAGGTGCTACAATCATCATTTAGAGAAAAAAATGACATGAAAAGGGCTGTTTATGGGTAGCACAGATGTGATTGATTTTTTTCCCCTGAATATCTTGGATCTGTGGTTTGTTGAATCCATGGATATGAAGTTCGTGGACTCCATATACACAGTCCAAGGACTGACTCTGCATGTGTGAACTTTTCTTTAAAACGGCAATAAAAAAAGCACACTTGTATACTCAGGTGTGCTGGGCTTACCCTGGAAATTCAGGAATGATTGAGTCCCAATTTTTTTGCATGTTTAATTACAATTTTTACTTCAGCTTAAATGTGTCTGTTAAATAGGAAGCAAGGGGTAAATGTGTTTTGTTTAATGTGTGCGTTTTGTACCATTATTGGCACAAAACTCAGGGCCTAGATGCTGTCCTTTAGCTTTCTCCCTTCAAGGCTGATGTTCTACCATTTGAGCTACACTTACACTTCTGCCTTTTTGCTGTTTAATTGAAGATAAGACTTTTGTAGACTTTCCTGCCTGAGCTGTCTTTGAACACTGATTTTTAGATCTCAGCTTCCTGACTATCTAGGATTACAGGTATGAACCACTAGTGCCTGGCTATTTTATTTTGTAAAATTCAGGAAAACTGCTAAATCAGATTAACTACAATTCATTTTTATGGATTATATTTTTCCTATTTTTATTATCTAGCCAAAACAAACTGAGGCCAAAAGCAGGCTTCAGATTTATATCCATAGGCTCTGGAGTCAAGTTATAGGCACTGAAGCAGCTTTTTTGTTAAGTCTTCTATGGCAGGTAGATGGCGTGTACCTGAACTTAAATATGATTTGATCTGTCTTATATATATCCACATATTAATATTCTGGGTAAGGTTCCCCTGAAAGATGAGCCCAGTTTTCAGAGCAAGGCCATTCCAGTAATAATAATGTACTGCAGATTTTGAAATAGCTAAATATTTTCATCAGGAAGAAATGAGAAATACTTGAATGGATAGTTACGTCCATTATACTGATTTGGATGTTCTACAAAGAATACAATGTGTCAAAACATCTCATTGTACCCCATAAACAGCCTGCACTGTTACCTGTAGATTAAAAAAAAAAAATGAAATGGTCAGGTGCCGGTGGCTCATGCCTGTAATCCTAGCTACTCAAGAGGCTGAGATCTGAGGATCAAGGTTCAAAGCCAGCCTGGGCAGGAAAGTCCATGAGACTCTTATCTCCAATAAACCACTAGAAAATCAGAAGTGGCACTGTGGCTCAAGCGGTAGAGCACTTGCCTTGAGCTGAAGAGCGCAGGGACAGTGCCCAAGCCCAGAGTTCAAGCCCCACGACTGACAAAAAAGAAAAAAAGAAAAAAGAAAAAAGAAATGAAATACAAAAGAGAAAACAAGTATGAAATTGTCCACTTTTGTCCAGAGATGTTAAAAACCTAAGCTGACCACTCAATGCTTCCTCTAAGCCAGTGTCAAATTCCCACCCCCTCATTTCCTCTTTTCATCTCCCCAGATTTCTGCTCACTAGTCACACACTACCACCTCTCCCTCTTTCCCTTTCAGTGTAGGAATTCTTGACAGACTCCTGCTCCTGACTCCCCTTAGGTTCCTAGGGAACAGACACACATCATGGCCTGGATTGGGAGTGAGGCAGATACCTAGATTGGGTGGAAAAGGCTCCAAGCCCCACACCTGCCCAGAGCGCTAGCTTATTCTTAGGGCCTTGGTCAGCAAACACAACCCAACCCCTCCCTGGGCTAGGAGCAGAGCACACTCACCCTTCTTGGTGGCCTCGAAGCTGTCATGGAAGTGAATCCGCTGGATGTCATATGTCAAGGTTGTGTTGGGCAGCAGAGTCCTGTTCCTGTTGATGATGTTGGCAGAAAATCGAAAGGCATGCTCCTCGGCATTCATGACCTGGGCGTTGGGGCCATCCGCATACTCGAAGATTCCTCCTGTGAGAGAAGGCCAGGATTGAGCGTCAAGGAGAAGGGATGAGGTTCAAGCAAAGATGCTTGGTTCAAATTCCTCTGCCCCAAGCATTCAGTAATATCTCATATACTTGCCATATATAGAAACTGTGCTGGGGCATTATGAAATATGAAAATCGTCCTAGTTCATTTCACTCAACTAGAAAATTCCCCATAATAGAGCCTGACAGGACCAAAATAAGATTACCAATTTATTAATACCTCTATGGAAATTCTCAATAGACTTCTGGCAAGTAGAAGCTACTGGATTGTTACAAGGGTAACATACCATGACCACATACAGTTTTATTCCAGGAATATAAGCCTGGTTCAATATAAAGAAATCTATGGCTATCATTCCACTACATCAATAATTCAAAGGAGGAAAAATATATGATCAGCTCACAAAATGCAGAAAGGCCTTTGATAAAAATCAATTATCATATTGCTTGTAAGAATGCTTAATAAAATAACATGAGGAAAGACACTTCTTTGAAGCACTTTTGGCATAGGTCAGCTCTTAATATCATACTCACTAATATTCAGGTTCTGGGGGTGGAGGGTTAGCTATGGGTAAAGATTCACATGGTACCATGAGCCAACAAAGCAAGATGAAAATTTAATTCAGAGGCACTACTTTTGGAAAGGATTAAGTTCTTATTTTGCAGATGATATAAATATCCCCTTGACAGTTATAATAATATATAAAAATGTATAAAATAATCCCTACTCATGACCACAAGTAAGAGCTGGTAGTAGAGTTAAGTTAAATGACCAGTTAGCACAAATTAATAGTATCTTAGGTCAGAACAGCCAGTATAAAAACTTAATAATAAAGGATTTTCTTTACTATATTAGAAAAAAATCAATAATAAATAATAAATCAAATAAGAAGCACATAATTCTAGTTCTTTAAAAATGCTAGCACTACATTTTCTTGATCCATTCATCTACTGGGGGGCATCTGGGTTGGTTCCATATCTTAGCTATGGTAAATAATGCTGCAATAAACATAGTTGTGCTGGTAGCTTTAGTATGGTCTTGTTTGTGATCATTCGGGTAAATGCCCAAAAGTGGGATTGCTGGATCAAGAACATGTGGTATACATACACAATGGAATTCTATGCCTCTATCAGAAAGAATGATATTGCCCTATTTGTTAGGAAATAGAAAGACTTGGAAAAAATAATATTAAGTGAAGTAAGCCAGGCCCAAAGAAACATAGGTCCCATGGTTTCCCTTATTTGCAATAACTAGTATATGTCTGAGACAAGCAGAAACGGTCAGATAAGTTGATGCTAGGCTAAATGAACCCCAAGATAAGGACTCAAATGTTTCTTGCTATTGTTTCTAACATATTTATAAGATATTTCTTTGTTGCTTTGTATGTCCCTCCCCCACGGTATAACCCCTGTTTTCACTGTATTTGATGTTGGTATAATTTGTAGAGGGGAAGGGAAAAAAGAAATTGCTTAAATAGGAATACAGGTGGACCCACTGCAACAATGAGATGTACAAGACATGTCGAAAAGTGAACTTTACAACTTTGGCATGGGGAGGTGCGAGGAGGGGGACAGGGGCTGGCGGGGGGGACGGGGGGGGGGGAGATGGGAAGGGATGGTAAGGGGAAACAAAGGAGGAGGCAACTCATTACCTTGCTCATGTAATTGTAACCCCTTTGTACATATGGTATTTTCACAATTAAAAAAAAATGCAAGCACTAGCAGAGCACTGGTGGCTCATGCCAGTTACGCTCATCCTAACTACTCAGGAGCTGAGACCTAAAAATCGTGGTTTGAAGCCAGTGGGGAAGAAAAGTCTATGGGAATCTTAGTGCCAATAAACTAGCAAAAAGCTGGAAGTGGAGCCATGGTTCAAGTGGTAGCCTTGAGCAAGAAAGCTAAGGGACAGCACCCAGGCCTTGAGTTCAAGCCCCAGTGCCAAAAAAAATAAAGCCAGATAGAATAAAAATATCTTAAGTGAGAGATATAAACACAACAAACACAGCTTTACACAGGGAGGCGTGTCCTGTTCCAGGAATGTAAGGTTCAAGGTATCAATTTCTCCAAAGTAATGTTTTGTTCGTTTGCTCATTACTATGTAGTCTAGGCTGGCCTCCAACTTATGATCTTCCTGCCTCAGCTTCCTGAGTGTTGAAACTACAGGTATGTGCCACCGGAACTGGCTCTAGAGTAATTTTTCAGTTTAAATAAATTCTAATCAGAGTTACGGAAGGATTTTTCTTTAATATGACAAAACAACTCTAAAATGCATCTGGAAGACCAAGACCTAAGGTAGTGACTAAACAATGTCTTTAAGGAATGATGAAAGGTGATTTGTATTACCAGATGTGAAAATACATCATTAAGCCAAATAATTAAAAACATGTTGTAATAGCACATAAAAACATGAGACAGATCAATGGAATGAGATAAAAAGCCCTTAGAACGAGACTCAAGTAGAGATAAGTATTCACAAGTCACTTGATAAAGGTGCTGGCTCCCTTTAGCAAGCAAAGGATGAATTATTCATTAATTGTGTTCTGACAATTACTCAATTATTTGGGAGAAATTTAAGTGAGACTCCAATCTTAATCCATGCATCAAAATAAACTGCTGATAGACTACAAGTTAAATAGTAAGATAATAAGGAAAAGCAGGAAGGGAACACTCTAAAACTACCTAAAAGAAAAAACAGGTCAATATAATTTGCTAATAGGGGAGAAGAGGCATGTCTAAACTTAGCCTTCCAATGAAGCCGGACACTATAGGCGAATGACAGAATTCCACAGACATCACATGAAATGTCTATGCATTAAACTGCTATCCTTAAATAGCAAGCAACAAGCTCACGGAAGAATTTTTGCACTGCATGTGGCAATATAAAGGTTGATGTTCTTATTTTATAAAAGCATTTAAAACTTAACTATAAAAAAGACAAATATTCCAGTATAAAAATGTGTAAAGGGCAAGCGTGGATGTTTCACAGGAAATACTCCAATAGGCTATTACAGAATGAGAATAGGAGTAACAACCTTGATTACGAAGGTCTGGTTAAATCAACAGTGAAATACCAGCTTTTGCCCATGTGATTGGGGCAAAGATAAACTATAACACTTGTCTCTCCCAAGAATGTTTGGCAATGGATACTTGTTTCACTATTTGTGGGAGGGGAAACTGGTAGATGATGCCTTTTCTAAGGGTTATTTGAAATTTTTCAAAAACATTGGCTCAAGTCTTTGACCCATGTCATATTGGGAATAGTTCTATGAATGCCCAGTGGGAGAAGTAATACATGGTAGTATACTCATATAATAGCTAAACTTCAGCTGGGTGTGGTGGCACATAAATGCAAATCTAGATATTTGAGAGGAAGGGATCAGAAGGATCATGGTTCAAGGCCAGACCAGGGCCCCCCCTCCACAAAATAAGCATGACTCTATCTCACCCAACAAGCCAAGTATGGTCATGTGCATCTGCAATCCCAATTAATCTGTAGGCAGAGATAGCAGATTCTCAGTCCAATACCAAACCTCGAAAAAAAAACTCCAAAAAATAACTAAAGCAAAAAGAGCTATGAGTGTCCACCCCCCTCCCACAAAATGCAGGTCTGCCTGCCTACCAAGTATGAGGCCTTGAATTCAAACCCCAACACAAACAAAAATGTTGGTATGGGACATTTTTGACACATCCGAAAAAAAATGAAGAGTGAAAAGTTTGCAAGAAATGTCTTACTCCATCTCAAAGAAAAAAGAAGGGAGATGAGGAGGAAGAATTTAAATCATTGACACAAGAATAGAAGAAGATATTGCTTATTTTGTTTTTAGTGCTTTTCTGTCCCCCTCCAAATAAACCTTTTTTCTTCATAGAAACCAACTTGACTGAGGTATTATTTACATTCTGCAAAATTAACTAGTGTTCAGTATACAGTTCTTTTTTTTCTTCCATAAACTAGCATGCCATGTGGGTATCACTACAATTCTGTTTTAGAACTTCCCCATCATTCAATAAGATCCTTTGTGGTAGGAAGTGGCTCTGTGGCTCAAGTGGTAGAGTGCTCACCTTGAGCTGAAGAGCTCAGGGACAGTGCCCAGGTCCAGAGTTCAGGCCCCACTATCACCACCACCAACAACAAAAATAAATAAATAAATTCTAATAAATAAAGAAACATTTTTTAAAAAAGATCCTTGTGGCAATTTCTGGATCATCATCATCTTTACCTTTGGCCCTAGGAAACCACTAATTTCCTTCCTGTCTCCTAGGATTTGTCTTTTCCCACCATTTTACATTTGGTGGAATCATTTGCTGTGTGTTCTTTAGCTGGCTTTTGTGCTTAGACAGCTAGAGGTTTATTGGTGTGTAACATCCACAAGATCTTCTTCCTTATTATGGCTGAGGAGGATCACTCTGAATAGATGTACCACATTTCATTTATCCATATCCAGCTGAAAAGTGTTTGGATTTTTTAATGTGGTTTCCAGTTTCTGGCAAGTAGGAAGCTGGGAGGTCACCATTCCATTAAACTGAAAAGCCAACAGCTCTTCTTGGATCAGCTTACAGATGTAGAGTGTAGGGGCAGAATCCTCTGAAAGAACCAGTAGGGAAACCCAAATTGATAAGTTAATGGTGAAATCTGTATAGACAAGTCTAAGAGGCAAAACCTCCAGGGGAACCCACTTATCAGGCCCCCACAGTTCTGAGTTCACTCTGGAGCTCTAGCAGATTCTTACAGTGAATACTAGAGAAAAGTACAGAGGTTCCTTTGCAGTTGGAAGGGAAAAGGAACCATTTCCAGCTATGCTGGAGAGTTCTGTTTTTAAGAAAGCTTGCCTTTTGTGTGAAACTGCTTAATCAGAGCTTAGGCTGTTGGGGGTTTATCAAGAGCCTCATTAACCTCATGGAAGGAAAACATTCAACTCTAGCCAACTCTGGACATTTAGCCCTATCTAAGGACAGGGTGGCAATAGTTAGGAAAACTTGTTAAGT